CCACACAATGTTTAAAAAAGGGAGAAAAATAATCTACAAAATGGTTATTTGATATTCCAAATTTAGTGTCAATTGTGCAATAAATAGGCACGCACGAACACACAACTATAATATTTAATGTTATTAATAAAAATATTTATAAATAAATCTATACGCAGATTTTTTTTTATATATATACATTATTATCATTAAATTATTATTATATTTCTTCATTGTAATATAGTATTTGTAAAAGTAAAAAAAATATGATTTCTTATTAATTTGTTTATTTAGTAATTATTGTATATAATTAACCTTCATGTAATCCTATAAAATATGTGTATTTATTAAATTTAATAAATACAATTTATATTCATTAAATATATACTTTTTATATCATTTGAATTTTATAGAAGAAAGATAATATTTAGAAATTTTGAAAGTCCGTACAGGGGATAAAATATTTGTATAAAAAAATAATAAAATAAAATAAAATAAAAGAAATAGAAGAGATTTTTTTTCTTCTTCTAATAACTACATGTTTTACTTTCACCCACTTTGAATACTGTTTGCATTGTTGAAGTTTTCTCAAATTGTTCATGGCTACCAACGGTTTAAGTTAATTAGTTGTGTAATGTGCATGATTGATCGTAATTTTTTGATATCGTGTTTAATTTCCATTGATAAAAAAAAAATCGGTGTAAAGCTTCAAATAAATAAAAAGAAACTGTTCAAGGCTTCAGATTAAAAAAAAAAAAAAAAACTGCAAAACGTTAAGGTTTCAATCTCGCTATTTTTGTATGCGTTTTCAAACACTTTCATCATTCCCCTATTTATATGTTACAAAATGTTTTCATTATATAATATTTTTTCATTTATATATACACATATAAGGCCTCTCTTTTTCCTTTTTAATTTTTCATCAACTACCTTATTAAACATTTTGCTTACCAATGTCTACTTTGCAGTTTTAAAAGAGTATTCACTATTCAGGGTAAGTTTTCCCTTTTTTTTCTTTCTGTAACAAACAAAACATTGCATCTTTTCTTCCTTTTCATTTGCTTCATATCAAAAAATATATACATATATATACACACACTCATATATATATATATATATATAT